ATATAGGCCTAACTCTACGCAGTACAATTGGAGCGTAACGGTGATCTCTACAGTCACTAGTTTGTCATCTCTGCACTGCTGTACCGCAAAAGATGTCTGCCTCCACAAATGCAAACCCACTATAAATGGCTAATTCTAAGGAATGGCAAACATAAAAATTAAGATTTTAAGTTCATAGGTAACAATAAATAACATGCATTATGGATAATATATCCCATTTATGTCAGTTAATCCCTGTAATTATTACACACTGTATCTTTAAGGCATTTAAAACCTTATCAGTCCTGCAGATTTGGGGGACTGGTGGCCCTGTGTTTAGGGCATAGAGCTTGGAATCCAGAGGTTGTGAGTTCGAAACCCACCGCCACTCTGCCTACCTGAGCAAAGACCCTTAACCCTGCACTGCTCCCCAAGGGGAAGGGTTAAATGAAAATAATTAATTTGGTTGCGCGGTAATTGTGACGGCTCTACACCCTCTGCAGGGTGCTTGAGGGTTCATGGGAGTTTGCCCAACCAGTCCACATGTGTTTTGTGGACATGGAGAAGGCATTCGACCGTGTCCCTCGTGCTGCCCTGTGGGGGGTGCTCCAGGAGTATGGAGTCAGGGGCCCTTTATTAGGGGCCATCCGTTCTCTGTACAAGCGGAGCAGGAGTCTGGTTCGCATTGCCGGCATTAAGTCGGACCTGTTCCCGGTGCATGTTGGACTCCGACAGGGCTGCCCTCTGTCACCGGTCCTGTTCATAACTTTTATGGACAGGATTTCTAGGTGCAGCCAAGGACCGGAGGGGGTCTGGTTTGGGGAACAGCGGATCTCGTCCCTGCTTTTTGCGGATGACGTAGTTCTGCTGGCTCCCTCCTGCCAAGACCTACAGGAACTGAATTTCAATTCTTTCCTCTCTTATTTCTCCATAACGCTAAACAATCAGGAGCTGATGAGACACCCCTAATGTATGTGTGTTTGTGGGGTTTTTTTTTTCCATTCTTTTTCTTTCTTTTTTTTTCTTGTTTTTATTTTTTATTTATTTTTGTTATATATATATATATATATATATATATATATATATATATATATATAAATAAAAAATTATAAGTTCATAACGCTGAACTCGCTCCACACCGTTGGGGGTTAGCGGAAGTGACGCAGCCCGCGCGCCTCATAACATATCGTCACGTCACGCGACAGAGCCCAGAAGCTGAGCAGAAAAGGGAAACAAAACAGAACACCAACAAACAACTCAACAATTGCTCTTTTATTTAAAAAAGGGCCAGCGGTCCGCTGACATGTCCGTCGCTTTGCTAACCCTCCTCGCGGATGACATGGAGTCGGAGAGGTTAGTTCCGCTGCTCACGCGCGTTTTACCGTTAATTCACCGAGGCATCTCTTTGCTAACGTCACCGTGTCATTAACGGTCATAAAACGCAGGTAATTACGCCCGTAAAGAGTCGCATCATTACTATTAGGTTATGTTTGTCTGTTCAAACGGTCCTGGGCGGAAGAATGAGGAAGTAGCTGCTTTTTCTTTAATGCAGAAGAGCCATATGAGATGACATGGACAGCAGAATAACCCCTAAAATAATGTGTTTTGCAGAAAAATAATTGGACATCAGGAGTGCACAATCATAACTGGTACATAGCTTGGATGCTGTGTGATGTTCACAGCTCAATCAGTCTCATACAAAAGTTGTATCAGGATGCTTCACTGTTTTAGATGCTTCTAATTAAAAGATTAATAAACCTGAGCCTTGATTACATTTTAGCTGCCATCAGAGTCAACTAATTTAAATATTTTAATATTTAGTTCAAACAAGAGTTAATACCTACTGGTATTAAAATTAAACGTTTAATCATAAATAAAAAATATAACATCATTAAAGTTATGTTATTTATGTACATTGGTTAAAAAGCACATTAAAATGTAAGTAGGAACCAATGTTTTTGTTCCGCATGTCACGTTGTTGCCCATGGGAAAGATTGATTGACACAATTTTTTGCATCACTGGGACTTTGAGAGTGTTAAATCCCAGCCTGCCTTGTCACGACACATCTGCTGTAATATTTGCTTGCTGAGTAAAACGAAATTCGCCACAAGTCCAAGTGGGTCGAAGCTGGAGGCCAAGGTCGACAATACTCCTCTTCTTGAAAGTGGGTGCTCCTTCACAAGCTCTCGAAAGTGGAAATGATCAGAGGCAACACACCACTTAATGCCTAGAGCTCTGTCTGTCTGTTGCTCACCAAGTGCAAAGTCTTGAGATTTTACTGTCTCTGCACAGTCTTTTTGGGGAGTGAGTTGAGCACTTGTTGACAGTTGGAAACAAACTTGTTAAGTTGCAGTTTCCCAGTTTGACAGAGTTGCTTTGCTTCATTCACCAGGTGAATTGCTTCCTTTTCTGAGTTAAAATGATCAATCCATTGTCCACGTAAATAACTTGGTTCGGCCCTCTGCTTGCCATCATCATCTCTCTTGCAGTCTGTCTGTGTTTTTCTTTAACAAAAATGATTTGCTGGATGCTTTTGTTTAAAAGTCCAATCCGCATCCTCCTGCAGCCAGTCTTGAACTGCACTGGTTATGTAATTGTGTAATAACTCAGCTGACCCTTGTTTGTACTGCATCATCTTAATACTATTGTTTGTTTTGTTTTTTGGAAACCTGTCTGGTTTTATTTTCTGCTGTTAGTTGGTTTAAAAAAAAAAACTATAGATATATTTACTCTATCTCATGCATTCAAATTTTAATGTTTTTACCTCCAGTATTTTTACACATTCAACATTCTGTTATTCTTTCAAAATAAACTCCCTTTTAACAGATATTTTCTTTTAACTTTAAAAGTATTTAATTCAATATTCTTATGAAATTAAAATATCTTCATTATTATCTTAACAAGAGTAAAGTTTTAAACTCTTAATTTCCACATAAAGATTTTCTTTTTTTGTAATCAGTAATATATATATACATGAAAAAAAACTTTTTCAGGTGAATAAATTAAAAGATCTTTAGCTGTATCACTTTACCCATGTAGTTTTTTGTGACACATTTTTTCCAGGCTATGACTTCCATGTTTAACATCCAGGATGTTAAAGAGGAGGAAGACGGTTTTGCTGTTTATCAACCTTCTCAAGCACACAATGGAGGATCTCCTGAGGCATCAGAGGCCAATAAAAGGACATCTGCAGAAGTTGCTCCTGAAATGCATCAATCCAGCAGTAGGAAGAGAGCCAGGGTCTGCTCTGAGGTAAAGTAATCCGGAACACAAAAACTGAAGCAACCCTAATTTTTTATTTACTTTATAAGTTTGGTCTGATGGGTTAATGCTTTTACCTGATGACCATATCTGCTGTAAATCCTCAGTGAACCTTTCGTGTTTACTGGATAAAAATGACTTAAAACTCTTTAATAGATATTTGATGTTGAGTCCCACACTCTGATAAATTAGAATATCACTTATTGAATGGGACTGGGCCATACATTGATTTGGATGATTTTGATTTGAATTTGCCCTTTATTAAAATTTAAAATCTGTTGCATTTCTGTCATAAATTTACCTCGTAGGCTTCTGTAGTTCAGTGACATCAATCTGTAATTTCAGTTCCTAGATGTGTTCTCAAAACCGATAGACTAGCTCTTTTGTTTCAATGAAAACAAATTGATAAAAAGTATTTTTTGTTTTTGAACAAATCAGATATTTTATTTTTAAGCCACATCACCCAGCCATTCTTGGCTATTATTTTTTTAATATAAGGGACGCAAGTTCAACATGCCAATAATATCTTTGAGTGCTCAGATCACCAGGAGTATTGGTGTCATTGTGTTGGGTGGGGGGGGGGAATCTTGAAATGCTTATCTCCTTTATCAAACTCAACCATGTGTTTTGTTGCCATAGATTTTGAAAGGTGTTCCTTCTCTCTAGGTGATTCAGGGTTTGACGGATGATGGCCTTAAACCCAAGCCTCTTTGCCTCGACATGGCTGGAGAAAATGTGCAGAGCATTCAAGAGAGATCCAGGCTCTCCTACAGAAAGCCTCTTTTTAGCATCTCTCACAGGATTTCAGACAAGAGAAACACACCAAGCCTGGATCAGCAGGCTAACCAAGGAAGCTTCAACAGCATCCTTTCACCAAAGCTCCAGAGTCCAGAACTAAATGGCCAGGCTGAGATCTTCACCCCGCAAGACTCTTTGGAGCAGACCTCACCTGTAGAGTCCAGCCTTCACCCACTGATTGAGAAAATGTTTTTTATCCTCAATACTCTGAGCTCAAGCATGACTCAACTGCACAGTAAAGTGGACTCACTGACCCTGGAGGTCATGCGGATAAAGAAGCAGCTCAAACCTGGAGAGAGGACGGCGGACTTCCACCCACCTGCAGAGTATCTCCTAACGAACGATGAACTCAATCAGCTGACGGCGCACACATCCAGCGCCGGTGAGCTGAGCTGCCAGCTGCTCGTCCACCTTTTCCCGGAGCTGTTCAAAGCCAAGGATTGCCCCCACAATTGCACGGCAGGCAAGAGGACGCTGGAATCTCTGCACCTGGAGCTGATCCGGAACTATGTGGAGGTTTGCTACCCCTCGGTTAAAAACGACAGCGTTTGGCAGGAGGAGTGTCTCCATCAGATTAATGACTTTTTTAATCGCTTCTGGGCAAAGGGGGACACAGAGAACACTGAGCTCATCAAGGAGGAGGATCCGATCTCTGAGGATGGGCTTAAAGTGGACCATCCTCAGACGTATAGCTTCATTAAAGAACAGGGTCAAGAGGAGAATGTGTCCCTGGATAACCAGCAGGGTTGTCTGCCCGTGTCCGAGCATGGGTTAAATAATCAGGCTCCAGAGGAGCTGGATGATTTCTCCTCGGTTGAAGACCTAGTGATTTTTCTCATGCACCGCCTTTTCCCAGAGGTTTTTGAAGAGGGCAAAATCCCCGAAGTCTCCAGCAGTTACAGTCAAGTGGGCCAGCTCATTCTGGACTCCGACAAGATGGAAATCCTGAGGAAGTACATGGAAGCTAATTTTCCTGATGTGCCTGAGGACAGCTGGCTCCAGCTGTGCATACAGCACATCGAAGACACACTGGAAGGACTGCACAGCAACGGGAGCGAATCCGACAACGTCACCTACGAAGGCTACGACCTGGCCAGCTTTCAGGAAGATGTCCATGCCATCAGGTTTCCAGAGGCCAGGGAATACGAAAGACGTTGTCGCAAGTATAAGAAGTCGCTGCTGCCACCTGTGGATTTTGAAAATCTGAAGATTCCTCCACCGGACTTTAACGTTCCCCAGGAATATATCTTATCCAGGGAGCAGCTGAAGAGCAACTATGAGTGTAGCTTGTCTATTGGCAACTTTGCCTCCCGGCTTCTGGTTCTCATATTCCCGGAGCTTTTCACTCACGAGAACGCCAGGAAGCAGTACAACTACAGCGGTTCACTTGGAAAAAAGCAGCTGGACCCGATCCGCGTGAATCTTATCCGGCATTACGTGCAGCTGGTCTACCCTCGAGCCAGGAACGACAGAGTATGGATGCTGGAATTTGTGGGGAAACTTGATGAGAGGTGCAGGAGGCCCGACACGGAGCAGAGGAGATCTTACCTGCAGCAGCGCAAAGTTACTGACCAAGAGCTGGAGCAGGAATTCTTCTGCCGCATAAACCACAAAACTCTGGACAACACAAGAGACGATTCAGACTTTCCTTCTTTACCTCCAGAGAAAAGCAGCAAAGACTTCTGTAAGATTCCCCTCGACCAACTTACCATTTCCCAACCTGACTTCCCCGTACCCTCCGCCTACCTGCTATCAGACTCCGAGGTTCGGGAAATCGTCCAGCAGAGCCTTTCTGTTGGGAACTTTGCCGCCCGCCTGCTGGTGCGCCTCTTCCCGGAGCTGTTCACCCCTGAGAACCTGCGGCTCCAGTACAACCACTCGGGTGCCTGCAACAAGAAGCAGCTGGACCCGGTCCGGCTAAGGCTGATCCGTCACTATGTGGAGGCGGTGTACCCTGTGGATAAGATGGAGGAGGTGTGGCACTACGAATGTGTGCCGAGCATCGATGAACGCTGCCGGCGGCCCAACCGCAAGAAGTGTGACATTCTTAAAAAGGCCAAGAGGTCAAACACTGTGTCATAGTCACAGTACTTTACAGTTTAGTCAACACGTTTGTCATGAAATGACTGCTCAGTATATAAGCTGATACAACATTCTTATGTTTTAACCTTTGCCTGCAGCAGCAGCAGATGTTTTAGTTGGAGTTTTCTAAAGTGTTGAACTGCTCTGCAAGCTGCCATAGTTTGTCTTATACATTTGTTTCATAAATGTAGCCTTAAAACCACGTTATAACCACAATAGTAGCTACAGCAAAGAGCCGCACAGTTCCTCTATTAACAGTAATTACTAATGTAGCATCGTGCCGCCACAGTTTTAATAATAAAGTACTTACAAGTGGGTCCATAAGTATTTGTAGAAGAACATCTTTAATTAAGCCTCTTTTGTTCTGTTCACTACAAAAATGGGTTTTAAAACGATGTGAGGAATTCAATATGCTGCATCAGAGAAAAAATTGGTCTATGGCTGATATTTGGTTGGACCCACTTTGGCCTTCAGTCCTGAGAGGTTCTGCTCTACATTTTTCGATATAATCAAGCAGTCATACGCCTATCAGCTCTTGTTGGATTTATCTTGACAGCAGTTTAGCAGTAAAGTTGCTAGTTTAATCTTAAAGCACGAGCCCTCATGGTTCTATCATCAAATTGCTGATTTGGCATCTATTCCTTAATAATCTTAGAACCCATCTCTGTGGTGTACAGAACCAAAGCTGCTGATTTGTTGTCCTTGTTTGAATATTGATAGACATATGACTGAATATTAAGCCTTCTTATAGAAGACTGTTATACTGGTGATTTAACATGACAATGGGTCATGGTACCTGTTTCTAATAAATACACACTTATGAAATGCACTTTGGTGGTTTTAATTTACAGAACAAATTATGGTACACAAAATAGGTGGTGTAAAATATAACAAGATCAGAACTGGGCTCTTTTCTGAACTTAGAAGTGGATTTTTCTTTATCCCAAGATGATTCCCCTGATCACTTGTTTAGAGGAGGGATTTGTCCTATAAAGGAAAGGATGGAAAGGATGGGTCCTATAAAGGTGTGCTGAATGGTAAATTGGTCCCAGTGTTTCACCTCATTCTGTTACCCATCATATATTGTGACTCAGAGGGGCACTACCTGTATTTAACCATAGGCTTCTTAAGGTTTTAGTATGAGTCTATGGAGCTAAGTCTAAGATAGTAGACTGAGGAGGATGAACAGCAACAGCACCCCCTTGTGTCAATAAATTATACGACCAACCCTTAACAATCATAGACAGGTTTCAGGTATTACAGGAGACAATCCCCCCCTTAATGGCTATCCCCCCTTTAACGACCGACCCCTAGAATCATAGACAGGTTCAGATATTACAGGCTAACGATGGAACTAACGACCCATTCATCAGTTACCATTGCATGTTTCCAAGCGATACAAGGCTTTGTCTATATAAGACTCAAACTCACTGCGGATCCAGACATTTGAATTGAGAAAGCTTCCTGGAGAGGTGGCGAAACGTCTTCAAATCTTGAAAACCAAGTCCAGTGGATATTTTTTGAATTTTTACGGAATAAATTATAGGTAACAGAATTTGATGTAGCACCTTGATCAGGGTTTAGAAGGGGACATTAAAGCACATTACTTCCCAGAAGATTAATTTGTCTTTTTCTTTGCTTGTATGCAACAGCCAGGAGAGCGATAAGCGCTATGTGCTGCAAAAAAAGCCAAACAGGAAATGACATCACATGAGTAAATTTCAAGAAGACCATTTAGGCAATGCTGACACAATTTCAAACAATGAAGAGAATAGTTTTTTTTTTTCTTCTCCGAATAGAGGGAATATTGTCACACAATTATCTCAGGTATATCTATATATTTATATATATTTGTACCTTTTTTTATTCTTGACTAATATTTCCTATGTATTTATATTCTATACATTACATTACCAATTTGTACCTTTTGCTTTATAATTATAAACATAACATTTATGTCCATATTAATTATTAGATCATTTAAAAATAATTTTACATTATTCCACAGCATTTTTTTTTTTGGCTTTTGCAAAAAAAATGGCATCACTTAAAGCTACTTTCAGTCTCAGGATTGTTTGTGCTCTATAACTTGTAACCAAGATGGATGTCTTATTGACATTTTCACCCTCTAGATTAGCTCCCACACAACGGACATGAGCAACGCCCTTAATAATATCTACTAAACCCTGATCAGTGTGTGCCTGTCCTCCATAAAAGCATAAAGAAAACAGTACAACAAATCTGAGGTTCACACCGTCAAAATGCACCTTTTATTGAATAAAATAAGGTACATTTCCAACCTTTTCTCTCACAATTCGCATACATGAGATTAGTGGAGCCATCATCTTGAAGTTCAGCTAACTTTCACTGATCTCTAAGGTTTTCAGGACAAGTTCATGGTTTGAAGGCTTCATCCTTTGCAAGTTCAAGGCTTTTCCACCTCCTTATGGAAACTTTGTGCTTATCTCCATCATTAGATTCACCTAAAACCTTTCTGAGAATGACTCTCATCAACGTAACGGTATTCGCATCGTTGTTCTCTGACAGCACAAGGTCCAAGGTGTCCCCAACTTTAACCTGGATAAACAAGAAAAGTTTAAGTTTTTACTAAAGCCAAGAGAAATCTGTAGAAAACATTTATAAGGAGGTGCCACCAACCGTTTTACTTTTCTTGATTAGTTTCTGCCCATTTAGTCTGAGCTTGTTGCTGTAGAAGGCATCCTCGATTTTGCTGTAGTGAGAAGAAAGTTAGTGTTGCTTTTTCTTTTTTGTAAAGTTTCAAATCAAATAAAAATTACATTTTTTAAAGCCTCAAACCAGCCTGGTCCTATGTAAAAAGCCAGCACTCTGCTTAAATCATATCGGATGGTATTAGAGCATGACAGGCCTGTTTAAAGCCACCTCACAACGTTTCCTAATAATTAGGCAATTGTATATTATGCTTCATTTGAAAATAAAAAAATATTAACAATGAGGCCAATGCATTGATTGTTTGTGCAGGAAGATTCCTCTCAGATTAGGCAGACAGAATGTACCAAAATTCTCCTTATTCTGTTTTGGCTTTCCACACCCCTCACATTGGATGAAGGATGTGTCTTGACCGATGGGCTGCTACAGGCCACTCTGAAAAACTTAGGACATCATAAACGGGTTTGATTTAAAACAGTTCATTTTCAGCAAACATTAGCTAAAAAAAATGTTTCTGTTGTGAAGCTCATACATAGGCTTTGGGACACATATGACTGTTAAAATTTTTTTAATAAAACCAATTTTGCATAATATGGGACCTTTAAATGACCTTAACTTCAGCATTTTCTTGGAAAACACAATAGTGCCATTTACGCTACCCTCTGAAAACCGATTCGTGCCGAGCTCGGACCGAGCTTGGATCAGTTAACCGTACCGTGCTCAGTTCCTTACGACCATTTACACATCACAGTGGCACAGTTCCTCGCATCCTAGTGACGGTCGGCGGTACTACTGCTCTCTAGTAAGAAAACTTGCGTGATTTTTTTTTGTTCTTTCCAACATTTCCTGGATAGCGTCCTTGCCCAAATTGCAGTAACAGCCTCAGTCTCAGCGTCATCCCAGGTCGTTCTTTTGAAGCCATTTTAAAAATGTAGTGTTGAGAACATTTCGATTGTTGCTTACAGTTCTTCTATTTTGTGGTGGTTGGCAAGCAACTGATGTGCATTACTTCACACTACTAGAAGCTGACTAAATAGGAAATGACATGGTCTGCTCATGCGTTCTTTGTTATCTATGAACTGAGCCAGAACTGAACTGCGCTAAGCCCTTCTGATGAACTAGTATCAGTTGAGCGGTTAGGGTTTAGTTGTGTCTGGCTTTTTTTGTCAATGCTCACATCATCAGATGTTTTAAATTAGTTTGACAAGAAATGGATCAGAAGCAGCTCTGTAAACTTAGGTAGAATTATGAAATATCCAAAATTAAGAGGTGACTTACTTGCGTGCCAAATCCAAACCAGCCTTTAAGACGACGTCATAGCGGAAAGACGGTACATATTTCTCCATGTCTTTATAGTCCCTTGGTAAATTAGGATCTACATCTTCATAATCACTCTCTTCTGGGTCAGTTTCCTCCTCTGCCTCGTCCTGCTCCTGTGCCGTGCGTGAAGGGGATTTCCTCTTGCTTTTAAAACGCAGCTGGTGCAAAGACCAGGTTTTGGTGGCGGTCCGTTGACCACCTAGACTGGGGAAAGTCGAGCAACCCCACAGCTGCCGGGTATGAATTGTCCTGGGGCACCACTCAGTCCTCCTTGTGCCATAACCAGCTGCCAGCAGGTGACGAGGGTTCAGCCGTCCAATCTGCTTCATAGCAATTACCTGCAGCACTAGACTCTGCATGCTGGCGCTCCAACCAGTAACTGGAAAAAAACACAACTTCAGAAATGATCTCAGTATGAAATTCTATAATCATACTAACCAGGTTTTGTAGGAGCCAAGGTTTGCGCTGAAACACTTAGTTTTCATCTTTATAAATTCCTCTTTCAATGAATATCCATATCTCCTTTGGCTTTCTGTCCATATGAGGATCCAGTTTATGTAATTGCTTGTTTTTATTGAAGAGGACCATATTCTGAGCTTTCAGACCACCAAACTTTAGCCAATATTTCTTAAACTAGTTCCATATCACGAGTTGAACATGAATGTTTTAGCTGTTATTCAATACGTTTTTTTTTGTTAACTTTTTAAATGTTGCTTTGTGTTTAGTTATTGTTTTAAAGAAAAGATTTTATTGTGTTTACCTTTGATAGATTTTTTTCCTGCCGTTGCTGTGTACGCACAAAAGAAATCACATTAAAAAAGTCTTTATCACCATCATTTCATCCGTTCATACAATATATATTGGGCAGCAAAAAAATATTTTTGTTATTAAGATTATTGTTTTAGATGCTGGAAAGAGCAAGCAGAAGAGTTGAGTTTATCAGAACCAAATTGATTGCTTTATGACTGGGTCAGAGCATCTCCACATTAATTATTATTTTGTTATGCTCTCAGGCATGAAAAGGTTTCATTTAATTATATATATATATATATATATATATATATATATATATATATGAAGCTTGTAAATTACATCAACGCTACAGAAAAATGCTGGATAAAGAGCTATGCATACCATTCCTTCAAAATAAAAGCCTCGCATATTTCTAACAGGGTTTGTGTCACTTTTTTCAAATATTTTCAAAATAATTTATCAAAAAAATCTTTAGAGATCTCAACCAAATGTTGAATAATTATATACACCGAAAAATACTAACGTTAAAAGCAAATACCAAAAGCTCATCGATTTATTTTGAATTGCGACCGGAAGTTGACTATATTAGCAATCCGTCAAAACAACAACCGATAATAAATTGTTATATTGCGATTTCTAACCCTGCAAAAAGCCTGTGTAGTTTTCCCCAGTAAATCCAACAGTTTTTTTTCAACACAGCTGCATGATGTTAAGTAAATCATTTTGAGCAGGAAGTGGGCAAGGATAGCTTAACGCGTCTTCACGCGGAGCGCACGTTAATTACAACTAAAACAATCCAGGAGCTTTAAGCATGAATATAACAATTTAAAAGCTTTCTAATAGTTTAAAACAAAACTGTTTTTTTTTTTGTTTTTTTTTTGTAGCACACACTCACCTAAGGAATAACCTTTCATGCCTCTGGACTTCGTCGACTTTTTTTGAGAGTGATGTTTGTGTGGAAGCAGTATTAAATCTACTGCCCCCTATCGCCTGGACGGGGAATCACAGTGTAACTACATCTTGTTTTTTTTTAATGCAGGACAAAAATATTTGGAAACCCAAATAGATCGTTATTTTATTTTTTTTATTTTTTTATTAATTAATTTAATTTATTTTCTCCACTATTTAGGTTAGATCGTGCAGTCAGACGTTTAGAAACTGATCATGGACATATTATATATTTTTATTTTAGTTTCCAATTATTTTTTCAACAGTCATGCACCAAATTGACAGGGTATACAACATGCAACTTTGATGCACATCTATTAATTTGTATGGATATCTGTAATCTAGACAGGATCAAATTTAGTGAGTTTAGTAAATTTCTCTACTGGGAGATCAATGAGGTCTATCTTAAAATTCTGTAGTTGTAAGCACTTGCTTTTGGTTAAATTATAGTTAGATTTTTGACCACCATTCTTTTAATAACTGGTAGAGGTTTTTTGCACAGGCCTGGCTTGTCAGCATACTACACAGATATATTTTCAGGTTTGAGATTTTGGGAGACTGTTTCAGTATGATATTTACTTATTTATGTAAATGTCCATTCGATCAATTCCCTTTATTTTATTTTCATATGTGAAACTAAACTGAAAAACATAGCATGCCCTTTTTTCAGTCCATTTCAAGCATTTCAAATTTACCCACAACATTTTTTCACACAGCACGTTTCCACCATTACCACATTTGAAAGCTGTTATAGAGTTTTTGCATTTAAAGGCCTTACCTTGCTCGATATTGGTCTAATGTGATGGCAAAACCTTTTCTGCATAAGAATCTTGCTTGTTAATAGAAGAAGCTTTTAGTTGAGCATGTTGGAATCAGCTGATGTTAAACTAGATTCCCTTAAGTAACGTTGTTCCAACACATTATAAAAACATTTTCCTGTTACTGGCCGGCTTGAGTTTTATTAATTCCTTGGTGATTCGTTTACACTTTATCCCAAAGGTTCTTAGAAAGAGGTAAAAGTACAACTGGAAAGCCTTCTGTTCAACAAATTCAAACCATTTACAAAGTAAATCATTATTCTAAATTTTTATCCACTAGAAATAGAGAATAACTATTAATACGGATGCACGATATTGGGATTTTGGCCGATATCCGATATGCCGATATTTTAAAACGCATGTAGCCGATGACCGATATCGATACCGATGTTAAAGCTGGACAAAAATAAGTAGTCATGGAAAATAGCAGTTTTGTTATCCATTTCTGACACTTTGAAAAATAATATACTCCAATACATTTTAATATGCTGATATCAAATTGATTTTTAAAAACGCGGTATCGATCTATTTTACTTTCAAAATCTCGTGAAATTTCATCGTTCTGTTACAAACTCTCGCGATATTTTGCAAATTCAATACCGCGTCAATATATCAGCATATAAAAATATGGCAAAATTTCGTGAATTTTCGGGGGATTTCGTAGCATAACGATGACATATAGCAATATTTCATTAGTAAAAGAGATTGATATGGTGTTTTTAAATGGCAATATATCAGCATATGAAGATATTGTGATATTTTAATGTATCAATATTTTTTCCCTTGTCTTTAGAAGTTTTTAAGTCTTTAAAAAAGAAGTTTTTGAGGAAGAAGAAGAAGTAGTATTTTTTAATTTTTTTTTTAGACTTTAGAAACTCAGAAGCTGATCAAATATCGGGTTAAATATCGGTGGGGTGGCCGATGTCCGATATTCAGTTTTAAGGCCGATACAGGCCGATACCGATAGGGGGCCGATTATATCGTGCATCCCTAACTATTAATATTGTATGGATGAAACCACAGTTAACTAGCAGAAGCCTGTGGCTACTTCTTTACCTCTTAAGTAGGAACATAGATTTTTTTAATGACATTTTCTAGTCGGTAACTGGAAAACCAGTATGATCAGCTAAACACTGTGTTCATTAACAGTCTACTATTTGCAATACAATTGTTTTTCTTTGTTTTTATTATTTTGAAGGCACCTGTTCACTAATGCTTACAGAGGTTGGTGAATATATGTGTAGAATGTAAGAGACACACAAAAAATGAATTTAAAAAAGTTAATTATTGCAGCTGTCTGAGCCCTTTAAAGTGACAGGAACTGTCTTGAAATTTGAGGTAGATGTTTGGTGGAATATTGAATACTGGAAATTTGATTTCTGCGTACAAATATATTGCACAATTAAACCCCAAACTTTCACAAAAATATACAAAGCCACTGTTTTTTTTTTGCCTGTTAGAAACAAATAAAAATAATCTGAATTGTGTTTTTATTTTTTAAACTCAAATACCATGATGGTATTTGAGAACCCTGGATTTTTTTCCTTGACTGGTTTCCTTTTCCATTATTCTTCCAAAAAATTGGTTCAGTGATTGCTTTCAAATGAATGTTTTTTAAGCTGTTAAAGTAAGTCAAGGTGGGTTTTTTTTTTTTTTTTTTTTTTTTTTTTTTTTTTAAGTTGATGCATACAACCATCTGGAGGATAAAAGAAAAAAACAAGTCTTAAATTACCCACCGGTCAATAAAAGCACCAGAATTATTTATAACCACACAACGGGAGAGTCCCGGACATTTATTGCAGTTTTCATTTGCTGACCTTATTTCAAATTCAAATATACTGGACAAGAGAATCTGTTTCATAAATACAGCCCACTTTATTATATCAACACTGCCAATTTAGAATATTTACTTCTTTTGTGTGTGTGTGTAAATAATTTTCATCAACATTCTGCTCCACTACGGGTTATAGTGTCTAGTTGCATCATATGCATAATACTGATGTCCCTACATTATTTAAAACAATGAAAGAACAAGCTGTTATGTAGTAGAATGCATACAATATATCTGTATAAGATGGTTTGTTTAATCCATATTGTATGATTTGTTGATTTTTGCATGTCTTAATGTAAGTGCATTGATGTTTTTTTTGCATAAACAGTTTGTAAAACCCACTGAAACACTGAAAAAAAGTTTCCATCCGCACCACTATAGTGCATCTTTGTTTTTCTTGTTATATCAGACTGTAAAATACCCATTTTACATGTAGGAAATGGAGTATTATTCATTCACTATGCACACAGAATGGACATACAGTTAATAATGCTGGTGGTTTACATTCATGTACATTTTATGGTTTCTTAACACAGTGTCTTAGCAGTAGGAGATCATGCAATGTGAGACATGGCTTTCATCTTGTTAAGATCTTTCCACCATGCTTAGATTTGGCTCACAGATAACATCCATCTGCTCAAATGTGCTGATGGTTTTTTGGTAAACCATTGTTTTGTTGTCTTTTTTGTCCACCTGATTGGTTAGTAGCACAAGTTGTCAGCTTCAGTCGTGGCAGTAGGCAGCAGAAAATATAATTAGAACAAAAATTATTCTGACTATGTATTTCTGTTTGAATATGGATGATTGTGATTTACAGGAGAGGTTTGTGTTATTGCATTTAGCTGCTCAACAACGAAATGTTGTCTGGATGTAAAAGGCTTTCTGGAAAACCGATGATGATGATGATGATTTACAACATGAATTACAGCACTTTAGAAGAATGAGAAATGCTTTATCTCTAAGTGATAAGTTGTCTTGGTGATTTTGGAACTTTTTTTTATTGATCAGCATCTCTGTGATGAGCATAAACATTGTCTTTACTGGATTTTCCTCATTTGGTGTTGTCACTGTTATTGCTGTAGCTGCAAGTCAAATTCACCCCCTCCTATCCATCTATGAGGAAACATGACTGGAGTTATCTCAACCGCCTTATGAGGTAACTGAAGGTTTAGGCTTCATATGTTGTGTTCAAATCTTAGATATGGTGATGACAGTGTAACAGTCTTTGTCTCCTTGGTTGCCATTGGAAGTTGATCTGATTTAGTTTTCCTCTTTCTTCTACTGTACGCCAGCGGACCGCTCTTATTGCTTTGGCGGTTTACGTAATGAGAACTCAGTCATTTTTCTGTTATTCATTGTGAATGCATGCTACAGAGGTGTCAATGTATTTCTCATAAGGACGTTTCCACGCAGGAGCCGTTTCTGTGGAAAGATCTGTGATTGTGGCAGTTCTCGCTACAGTGGACAATGAGCACTGGGTAGCATAGAGCGTCGTCGTAGTGTGGAGGCTCCTCGTCGTCCGTGGCGAGGCGCTCTGACAGGCACCGGGTGTTTTCGCTGGGGCTCTCTTGGTCATCCAAGCTGCCGCTCCTCCAGAGGCAGCTTCGCTGGGAGCCGTAACGGCGAGCTAGAGAGAAGCGACTGCCACTGAATGGGATGCGGGAGCTGGCGCCGGTACAGATGCTGAGAGCGCTCCTGGAGAACACAGAGGAGCAGCTGATGGCCCGGTGGCAGCGCTCACAGTTCTGACGGATCCCGCTGAAGCTGTTTGGACACTGGGCCAGATCCATTAGGCCGGCCTCTGAGTAACTGGGAACCAGCTGCTGGTTTGAGCGAATATGCCACTCCAGCTCTGTACTGTCAATGGTGTTGACACGGGGGATGCGGCGCCAATATGGCCGATCGTCACACGGGGTAACAGGAAGGTAATCTTGCCCGAAAAGCTTTTCAACACGATAGTGAACATAAGCAGTGCGGTATTCAGTGAAGACCCGGAGAGGCCAGGAGAAAGTGAGGAAGGAAGCAAACCAGAACACATACTGGGACAGATACCAGGGGTGGTGCTCCGGGTCGGTCAGCACCATGACGTACTCCTTTAGGTCGATGTTTTTCAGGTGCATGCCCTCTCTGGCTTCCATGTAGTCGTCCAGGCCCTCATTGTCGGTAAAAAACCTGGCTCTTTGAGTCAGGTATGAGTTCTCAGACTCCACGTTGGCAAAACTAAAGCACTTGGTAAATCTCATCTTAGTGAGAGGACACTTCTCCAGGCCCAGAAGCTGTTTGGAAACATCTTTGACACCGCAGTGACCGTAGTCGAATTCAGCCTCGGCCACGTGGGTGTTGACGCGCTCATGGTACACCTGAGTGCTAGTATAAGCGTCTCCGTTTCGATAGCGAGTTACCTGTCGAGTTCGGCGCACATAGTGGTAGCTGATGGCCTTCCACCAGATGCATGGCTTTGCTTGCTGCATCCTTTGGATGCGCTCAAAGATACTCTCAACATCCACTTTGTGCTGGAGCTCATTCTTCACGTGGCAGTGCCAGCACTCCACTAAATACACCAGGTAGAGCATACCCAACAGGGCGAGGGGGATGTAGATGTATCCATCAGAGCAAGGGCTGTCGTGGTACATCATGGACTTCCCTTTGAAGGCGCTGTCAAAGGTGAGCCTGGTCACCTTGGTGACGTGGCACCAGACCATAGCTCCCATGCAGCCGTACATGAGAACAGACAGGAGCAGGCATTTCCAGAAACTCTCACGAAATAAAGACTTGCTCAGTGATTGCTTCAGGGGTCTTTGCTGTAAAAAGAAAAAAAAAAACATTAAACAGAGGCGTGGGGTAAAATATTAATATCTGTTTCAAATTTCTGTATGTTATACATCTACTGGTCACACTATTAGGGAGCTCTGTTCTGCTGCTTGTGAACACAAGAAGAATCACATAAAGACCCGACTGCAAGGCAACATATTTAGACTTCTAGGCCTGATGACAGTGACTTGGAGAAGTTCTGAATGCTGAAGAAAGTGGATTACACTAATAAACAACCTCAAAATGTGTCATCTACTGGGATTTTCATGTACAACCACCAGTGTTGGGGAGTAACGGATTACATGTAACGACGTTACGTAATTTAATTACAAAAAAAGAGTAACTGTAATTCGTTACAGTTACAATGAGAAAATATGTAATTCAGTTACAGTTACTTCCGAAAATATTAAAAATTACAAATTTTGTTAAATTTTTTTTTAAATATAAAGAAAACCCTTTGCGAAAAATGTAATGATATTTTTATTGCTTCGCGCCCTGTATTGCCGTTTCCCGCTACGGCTCCTTGTCTTTATCATATTTGCCACTCTGATGATCCATCCTGTGTTGGTGGAGCCTCCTTGAGGAACAGCAAGCGAGCAGACGGTTCTATTTCAGCTCAAGCAGCGCATCAAAAATGACAGCCGTCCAGCACTGGAAATTTAAGGAGCATTTCGTTTACATCTGTGAAAATGGCTCAAATTTAACCGTGCAGTGCAAGAAGTGTTTGCCGGCTATCAAGAACTTGTCCTCGTCGAAGCGATCTATGTCAAACAAGAGGAAGCATTTAGAGGTAAGTGCAACTCACTGATAGACGAAGCGTATTGATTTACTAATATTTGACTGTTTGGTGTTGATGCATGACAAACGTTTATCGATGTCTATGACCGCTGTAGGAAAGAAGTGGTTTCTGAACCTGCTTGTGTTAGTCTGCAAACTGCGTAAATGGTAGAGCCTGGGGGAGGAACAGAAAAGAGTATGGCCCGATGAGAGGAGTCTGAGAAAATCTTACATGCCTGGTGCTGGCATCTATTCTTATGGACATCCTGTGATTGCCTGTCAGCAGTTCCCTCTCAGCTTAGTGCTTTTTTAAGGTTCACATTCAGTTCTCAAAAATTAAATGTTGAACATGGGTCAATACTCATTAAAACCTTAAAGTAATCAAAAAGTAATCAAAAGTAATTAGTTACCTTACTTTTTAAAAATAATTGAAAAAGTTACACTACAATTACATTTTAAACAAGGTAACTTGTGAATGTAACGGATTACATTTTTAAAGTAACTTACCCAACACTGACAACCACCTAAGGTTTAAAGAAAACAGACCAAAAGAAGACAATATATCTAGTGAATAGCGGTTATATGGTTATGCTTTGTTTACGACAGACGTTAGAGAAGAATGGGCATGTTTCTGGGCTACCAACTCTTATTGCTTTACAAAATAGAGCAGACTGGCTAAAGTAGCAGAAAACCACACTGTTTTACAGAGAATAAGCAAACAAGGTATAAACCACATTTTAAAAAGCATTGATACTTATTACCTTTGATAAATAATACATACCGTAATTTAAATACTGAATCTAAGTATTGTTGACAATCATATTCAACCCTTAATAACTAAATTACACTCATCTGCTATGATGGATACTTCAAACAGGATGATGCTTCCTGTCCTTAAGCTCAGTTAATCTTAATCTGGTTTCTTGAATATGACAATGAATTCACTGACCCAAGCAGCATACATTGTCACCTACTTTTACAATCGAATGGAGCCTCTTTAGTTGGGATGTGGTCTCCTGCCCAAAATCAAATGGAAATCCTGCCCTCCTTTGACCCAAAGCTTTCCTCTTATAACTCAAATGTTTCAACTTCCACCTCTGTCATGTAAGAAAGTTGGAAAATTGGGCTGCTTCATCCCTCTTCCAACTCCCTGTCACTAGAAGTCAAGTGAGAAGGCAATTAGAGAGACTGAATCACATTAAGTCACCACGGCCTGATGGCGTCAGCCCCAGAGTCCTGAAGGCCTGTGCAGAGCAGCTCTGTGGGATTCTATAGCACCTCTTCAACTTTAGCCAGGAGACAGTTCTAGTGACGTGGGAGACCTCCCTCCAACTCTTCCAAAAAGTAAAAAGCAAACCATTAGACTTTGTTTTCCAAGGTTGAAGACATTTCGCTTCCCATCCAGAAAGCGCTCTCAATTCAAAATGTCTGGAGTAGCGTTGAGTTCCATGCTTATAAAGTGGCCCAAACAAAAGAGCGTGGCTTGGAAAACATGCAAATTCCTGCCAACTCATGGTCCAGCTGAGCAAGAAAAACAAGCAACTATCAGAACCCCCACTTAACGCTTTGGAGTTGAATATGCCATCATACACCTGCTTCAAAGAATACCTAACAATTACGCCATAATTTGCAAGACTGAATGGTCAACTGTATAATGAAGTGATTAATTAGTAGCACCACAGGGGACGGTACTCTCACCATTTTACACTGTACACTTCTGACTTCCAGCACCAGACGGAGTCCTGTTATCCATATAAATACTCAGATGACTTTGCAGACATTTGGGTGAGTGAAAAATAGACAAAAAGCTGATAACAGATAGCTGGCGAAGCGCTTTGTGGCTGTCTTCAGAAAGAGGCTTCTCCAGATGCGAAGCAAAACAAACCAAAACAAAAGATCCTTCCTGCCTTCAGCTATCAACACGTAAAACAACTTGTCAAATAAAAATTTAGAGTGACATGTTTACTGAAACATTTAATATTCCTTAATAATTAATGAGGTATTTTTAAATTTTAATTGAATTAAATGGCCCTATGTCTCCGTATTTGCACAAGCATATTTGGAGGCCATCACTCCTCCGTTTATCTGTCCCGGGTTCGATTCCCAGCCCCAGTCAACTTTCTGTGTGTACTTAAATCTTTCTAGCCTGATTAATGTCTTGTCAAATAAGGGAAGTGAATGCAGCAAAACATTAAGCCCCAGAGGATTGTTTGCAATACTTGTTGAAGCTCTTTGAAAAAGGGCAGACCTGAAGGCACGGGTCAAAGTGACCACTGAGATATAACATATGTTTATTTTTGTGACCTTTTAATGTTTTATCCTTTTGTTTATGGTTCGTTTTAGATATTTTCATGGGTTTTTTTTCTCTGTAAATCTTTTACTGCACTCCTTTAGTTTACCGATTACCACAATGTTTCTTTTTTCTAGTCTCTCTCACAGTCCTGGTACGGTAGAGCCGTTCTCCTCAGCAGGTTATAATTTTGTCTTTGCTACAACACAACTTAATCAGAGGAATTAATTCCTCATCAGTAGTATTCATGCCATCTTATTCATGAGTGGTGGCAGGATGTAGTGGGGAAGAGATGAAGGGATTGAGGCTTTGTCTGCAGTAATGGAGGTGCTGCTCCAATCTGTCATGGTGAAAAAAAGAGGCTGAGCTAAAAACCAAAGCTATCCGTTCACGGGTTTATCCACGAGTTCTGGATTAAAGAGCCTAAAATGAGCTTCCTCTGTCCTAGAGATAAGGCCAAGAAGCTGAGGTGGTTTGAGAATCTGTCCACGGTTACCTCACCACTCTACACTTGCTCTAGAAGCAATCACTTTGACGAAACCTCTGGTCAGATCTAGAACTTATTCCAGAGATCATGTTGGCCCTCAATCTTATCATCGCTTTCTATAAAGTCTGGGTTACATTCAAACCAGGTGTCAACATAAACCAGATTTTTTGGACCACAAAAAATGTATATTCTGAAAAAGTCATCTTAATTTGCTTATTTTTTTATACCAAATCTTTATTCCGGACGTGAACATTTTCAGATGACTGACTTATTGGTGGATTGATTGATTTCTTAATTGATTTGGTTACAAAAACTATTTGGCCATGAGTTTCTTAAGGAAATGTCGAATGTCCAACCATATTCAGAATACAAACTTCTGAAAGTATTTTAATTAGAAATAAATTATTACATACTGTTCAATAAATGATATGTGTTTTTAATGAAAAGTTTTCATTTGACTGTGCTTTACTGGAGACATCAATGTTTGTCAAAGAACACTACACCTACCGATTTGTGACGTCACGGTGCGGTATCGGCTGTTGATCAAGTCCCAGTGCTGTATCTGGTGTTTTTCACAAAGCGCTATAATCCAAGTCATCTTGAAAACATTCTTCTTCGAAATGTTGGCTACATATTATGTTTTTTCTCTGGCCTGAAGTTCGATCGCAAATCCTCCCTCTCCAAGTTGGAAATCCAATGACAAACCCGTCCTTGGAGGATCAGGAATCGGAAAGGTGAAATAAATAATTATTTTTTTTCTCTTTTAGTGATGTATTACAAAATCCAAATGCCATCATGTGGGCATTGTCAGTTTTACTATAGCTCTCGCGAATTTCAATGGTGAAGTCCTCTCAAAATGTTAAATTATTGTTATTGATTGCAGATGTATCTAGTAGCTTCCCTTGATTTTGCTTGTAAAGCAGGAAAATGGCGCTCGGCTTACCGCACCGTGATGTCACTGCATGAAAATGTGAGGAGTGAGTTGTTACTATATTTGGGGAAAAATGCCCGCTTCCAGACTCAGTGATCACGATGAAAATTACTATTTTTATTTTTTCACTGATTAACGCTAAATTCATTCGATCACCACAAACGTATTAGTCTTAAGGCATCGCTAATAATCCATTGATTATTCCTTGCTGACCGGACTTTTCCTTTAATTATGAGCAGTGGACTGATTTTAGATGCAAAACTGACTGCAACAACCAATGTCATTGCTCATTACTTTTCGTTCATTCTAAAGCTCTATCCTTTGCACTTAAAATCAGTGTTTATTGTTTCACAGGTAGTTTTTTTTCTTCCATTAAATCAGATTGAAACATTTAGAGTGAGTTGTGAGCTTATAAAACTATAATAAAATACCAGTATCGGTCAAAATTAGAATCAGGATGTCAGGCTTTCTGAAAATCTGTTGTCGGCCAGAAAACAATCAGTACACCTCTAAAACTGGGAACCTGTCGCAACACAACTGAGGTTAAAGGTAGTTTAAATCATTGTTGAAATAAAACGGTAAAGGTAAAACAAAAAGAAGAAAGAAATAGATTAAAGTGACCAATCAGTTACTGCTCATTTGTCTGAGCGTATAATATTAATATTATAATATTATAATACTGACCTGGAGGTTTAAACCAGATGCAATGAAATGGTGTAGAATGGGCTAGTTAAAGCCTCAACCTAAATCCAATTGAGAATCTGCTATTTGACACACTGACTAAGCCATTGCCCTAAAAAAAAACTTTTCTTTGGAATTTAATCTATCATTAAATCCCAATGAAACAAAAATAAATTAAATAATCTATTAGTTTTAAATACTTGTGCATAACAGAGTGCACTTTGTTTTTTCTGAAGTAAGATACCTGGACAAAAAGGATGCACAAATGCAATGTGAGTTTAATGATCATACTGTAGTTTTTGAGAAACAACAGGCCTTCATCAGCAAATAACAGGTGACATGCAGGTGTATGTTGTACTTGAATACCTACACTCTTTTCCACTGATGGAAACCAGTCGATTTAACAAATATTCATGGATACATCTGCAGGTTGTAGATAATGCATATGCTATATAAGCCCCAAAAGCTCATTAAAACGGTTTAAAACAGACTCTCACCTCCTCCCTGGTGTCCTCCTCATAGACGGTGGTGGTGCTGCTTTCACTGGCTGTCGCAGCAGAGGCTGGGGGAGACATGGTGACCGACAACAATACAAGGCGTGGAGAGGAACCAAAGAGGGATTTCGCTGCTTTTTTATCTTCCTCTGCAGTCTTTCATCCCATACGAGTCTCTGCATCGGACATCAGCGACAGGAGAGTCCAAAACAACAGCGCTCCTGTGGAGGCAGGGAGGAGGAGGATGGAGAGGAGGAGGAGGAGGTGTTCCTGCAGCATCCCGCCTCAGTTGTTAGTGCCGCAGTGACATGATGGGAGATGATGCAGGATTAGCTGGTCGTCATTACCAACGTATGGTGCCTTGTCCCTCGGGGCCCGCTCTGGATCCACGGTGCGTGGGGTCCGATGTCCACGGCTGCCTGCAGCTGAGGCAGGTGGGATGATGTTGCATAAATCCGCGACTTAAAGGGAACGCCCATCCCCATCTCTGATCCAGTTTGATTCACCTATTACAGGTGCAGCTTAATATAAATACATTTAGACTGATTTCAGTAATAGAAAAAAATCGCTACACAGACATGCATTCATTATGAATGTTACGCGTTTTGATTGTTATTGCTGAAATTATTAAAAGATCTCGGAAAGATCAAGGCAGTTGGGTTATTTCTGCATGGAATGTTCTCCTCATGCATGTCTGTGTTCTCTCCCGGTACTCCAGCTTGTTTTTGTGACTTAGGGGGACATTTCATTGACTTGCATTCATTTTATATTACCTAACCAAGACCTTTACCCTAACCTAACTATTACTAACATCAGAATCAGAATAAAGTTTATTGCCAAGGAATTTGACTTGGTTGATGCTGCAGACAAAATAGATATACATACAGAATGCAGAATCTATAGCTGTCATGGTTTTGGTTTAGTCCATTTTTATTTTGAGTTTTCTTTGGTCTTATTTAGATTGTTTTGTTCTAGGTATTTTTGATTGTATTTGAGTTCTTAGATATTTCCTGTTTGCCCTCATGTGTCAGTCTCCTTTTCCCTAGCTCTCTTCTTGACTCTGTTCACACCTGCTCCCAATCTGCTAATTACCCTGGTCTTCGTTTCTCTCTCCCATATAATTTCCTCCTGTTCAGTCACTCTTTGCTGGTTTGTGATCATTACTTTGCACCGTTCTTGTTGTGAGTATTCTTGCTTTTGAGATTTTTGGGATTTTTTGTGGATTTATATTTTTGGATTTTTGCTCATGTTAAACTTTTATCATTAAAACCTTTAAGTAACCACCTCAAGCTTTGTTCTGCATTTGAGTCCTGTCAAACCTCCACCCCCACTCTGACAAAGCTATATACAATATAAGACATACAATATACTATATGCAACATACAGTATATAGTTGTATACTACATACACAGTAGGCTCTGCGTTAATGTGATGCCGGAAGTCTGGAGATGCTACGATGGTGTAGGTTGTGGTGGTGGGGATGGGGTTGGGGTTGTTGAGTTATTATTGAAGGACCTTTATTTGAGGATTTTGGCTTTATTGCACATTTTGTTTCATTTGGTTCACACTTTTAAATTATTGTTGTTTTTTATTAATTGTACTAGTTAAAATTCACATTTGATTAGTTTTTTAAAATAATTTTCTATTTAATTTTCATTATGTGTCCATAAATCATTTTTTCTGACCTCTGTTCACATCCCCACTTAGCTGCAGTTCATTTAGTTAAAAAGAAAAGAAAACAAGTTAAGGTAACAGCCGAGAACTGGGCTGATGTCCCCCACTTAGTGAGGACGCAGGCAGCAGCATTCTGGATCAACTGTCTCATTCACTTTTTTAGGCAGATCTGTCAACACGCCATTGCAGTAATCAATTCTACTAAAGATGAACGCATGAACTAGTTTTTCAAAGCCTTACTGAATCATTAGTCCTTTAATCCTAAAGTTAGAACACCGACTTTGTCACTGTCTTTATGAAGGTTCAGGTCTAAAGCTATCACTGCACCCAGATTTAGAGCCTGATTGATGGATTAGCTGAAGCTGGAAGATAACTTTTGAACTCTCTTCCTTTGGTGCAAAATTCATCTCAGTGACCGATCCCCTCGTTCGTGCTTAGTTCCTGGCTTCTTCTGCTGTTTTAATTAATTCCTTATGAATGTTGAGAAATACTCAAGATTAAGAATGTGTGTTTATCCATTTTACAAGAGTAATCATCATTATATGTCTCAAACATCAAGCACAGACCAAGAGAAGGAGAGATTCAAGTACCTAAATCATTTCTTTTTTTCAGTAGGGCAAAGATAAGAGGATGACTTTAGAGATCATCCATTGCTCCTTTGCATTAAAAGAATCAAATAGGAGGTTGCAGCCACATGTTTAGGATTTGTAGGTTTTTTTTTGGAATGTCTTTTCTTATAATCCCTCAAAATGAGCCTCCTATTATCACAGGTTATACAGAAACGAGAAAGACATTTAATAGCTGAATGATCAAATTTTTAGACATTTTCTAAATGCAGTAAAGAGCAAAATGAAATTCAACACGATAGTTTGAAAATGTCTTTCTAGTAGCTGTACTTATTTTCCTATCATGTTTTGATCAAAACAGGAATTTATTGGCCATCTGTGTAAAGAAAATATTCTGATCGATGTATTTTAACTGGTGGGTTCTTTTTAATTTGATTATAAAAGAATGCTAAAAATTAATGACAAGAAACTTAATCTTCTTGCTCTTTTATTTTTTATACCAAATTTTAATTGTAATTACTCATTCAAACAATGCATTTCTAAAACAGACCTTTTGACAACATCGGTTTACATGAACTTAATGTGTGTTTTGGAAAATAAATCACCTAACTAAACCAGTGGAAACTCTAAGCAATCTAAAATACATTTTTACATTTATCCAGCATGATTACAAAATGTTTATAAAATCATTTCACAGATCAACTAGATCCTGTATGACAAAGTCTCATGACCCCCTGGTCACATTTTACAAAAGAGCACAGTAAAATACAAAAAAGGCCTTCTGTTTTTTTTATTAAAAGCCTCTGCATCAGATCAAACTGATTTGATAAATGCAACTTGTTATACGTCGGAGCTGTTTGCTGAGTGAAAAGCCTTGAGAAGAATTTAGATACATTTAAAAAATAACCGAATGAAACAAAAGTTTTAAAAGGTTTAAAAGTCTTTGGAAATAACAACTTTTATGAAATATTCATATCACTCAAAATATGTGGATACATTGTTCAACTTCCAGAAAATAATATATGTTGAGTTATTATTTAGCAATATTAATATTATGACCAATATAATGACTCTTCAGGTAGTGGAGATGGTGATTACTGGAATATCTGTTTATCTCTCAATCCTTTTCGGGTATGAATATATGTACATAGCATCATAAAGATGAAGAGAATTCATAAAAGAAAAACAATTCTTCCTTTTCATCTATAGATTAGAGTGTATTAAAACAAATTACACCTTTAAAGAGGTTCTAGCATTAGTCCAATGAAACATCAGTGAACAAAACACAGCTGTCAATTATCAATATTAATATATGTCAATATTAATGTATGGTTTATTAGTGAAAAACCATTAAAGCCCATTGAAAGCATAAAATGTTTTCTCACTGTTTGATTGTTAGATGTATAAGGTTAAGATTTATTTGAGAAAAGAATACTTTTATTACTCTGATTAAAAGTATCAAGAATTTCTTTGTATCTGAGGATTTTAACCAATACATTTGGAACATAAATTAACATACATCCTCAATACTTCCATAGGTTTTTAGGAGGGAAACTTGTAATTAGGTGCTGCTAAACACATTTCCTCATTACCAGTGTCAACATCTCTATCTATCCAGAAATGTAGTCATTGTGCTGATCTGGAGAGCACAGGCCATGTATCTGGATATGCTTCGGCTGACTTCTACAAAAAATCGAACTCCTTAATTCTACAGAAAAGAAGAATATTAATGTTTTTTTTTGTTTTTTTTTTTTAAAGACTGGTGAAAATTAAGCAGGAAAAATATCCTCTGTACATATGAGACCAAATGAGAGAAGTTTTGTCATGGTGCACAGAGCCACAAAAAAACATCAGTACAAACACCTGATGCCAACTGTTGAAGAGCTGTGGAGGAGAGATGGAGATATAAAGTCAAACATGAGCCCAGCTGCCTGAAATGTTGGGAAAAAGAATAACCCAAAGTTTCTCTATAAAGCAACTGGGGGTTTACTTTGTTTTTCTGTTTTTATTCCCTTACAGATTTCCCATTTTAGCTTTCAGTTGCTAATAAACAGATAGTATGCATGTCATCCTGGACATTTATGTAGGAAAGCAAAAACTGATGAAAACCAGACAGACCTTAGAGTTGAAAACTGATGTACTTTCTTTTAAAGTTGATTCTGCTGATTTCTCTTATCTTGTTTAAAAATTTACATTCCACAATAATAACTCAAAAGTGGCTCCTTTCTTGGCATCAGATAAGTCTGATAAGTCTCTTAAGAAGTGTCAAAGGTGTTTTAGGGGGACATGAATCATCACTCTTTTTCCCAGGGCCTCCTCCTCTGATGACGACCCTTTAATAAAAGAATAAAAAGGTAATTTCCATATGGAGTTAAACAAACTTATGGGCATAAATGAGAAGAATGTAATGTTAGACCAACTTACAGAGTACATATTAGAGAGGTTGTTGAAAAGAACTTGACCTGCGCTCACTTTGTTCCTCACCCCTCGGATGGTCCCATTCTTACTGCAGATATTGACCCTCTTGTTGCTGAACAGCATCTCCCTCTTGGCACTGGCATACAGAAGCAGGTTGTCTGACTCACCGTTGTTTTCGTCCATGGCAGCATCCAGGCCGTTCAGGTGCCTGTTAGCCTCACTGGTCGGAGGCAGACCTCCCTGCTCTGCCTCTGTGCTGCCGGTGCCATCCGAGTCTGCAGAGTCTGAAACCGAGCTGCACCAGGTCCTTTCATCCTTGAACACCTCGGCCAGCACACGGCCACTGTTGGCAGACGCGACTCTGAACCGGACAGTTTTACCACTCATTTCTTTCAGCTTTGGCCCATCCATCAAAGTCCAAGAACACACTTATACACATCACTTCCCATTCAGAAAAGGGGCCCTTTCAGCCCAAGTCATTGGTGGTTCAATCATTTATCCAACACAAGAATCCTCCAAGGACTGAAAAAAACACTCTTGAGTGCAACTTTTACGCTCCCAAACACTCAATAATAGATGTGCCTGTGTCATGGTAACAGCTAAAATGGACAGACTGTAAAATGATATGAAGGCGTTCAATAATTGATCAAGGTTAGCACACACCTTGTGTCGGATCCTCTATGGTCTGATAACTTGCAAAGTCAGGGGAAGCCAACAGGTGGCCTTAGTTGATCTTTGCACGAACATTTAGCACCAGTTATCTGAGTAAAAAAATTACTTTTTTGTGTTATTAAGCTAAAAAAAAATAGAAAAAATTGCTGTTAGGATAGCCACAAAACTGGCAAGAAAGTTAATCTATACAGACATTAACAGCTTCTGTTGAAGAACAACATGAAGGACAGGACAGACCATAAGGTTCTGTAGATGCTACAAACATAGAAAACAGAGGAATGGAATATGTTTTTCTTTCACTGATGTATCCTCCTTCTCATCATTTCATGAGATCCAGAAAACGGTTTGTCTAGAGAAGAAAAGCTGGAGCTCATAGTGTCAAAGCTTCCTAATATAATCCATGTCAGGGGTTGCCTGTCATCTAAAGAGTGAACTTCCTCTCATTCCTGTCCAAGGACAGTGCAATAAGTAAAAACTCAAGATCAAGATGACCTCCAAGAAGTCGTTATAGTGGTGTCTGCTTTAAGAGTTTGCCTATGATTGGGCAAAGGGTTACTGGTTCGAGACCCAGTCATGTCTTTTGAAAGTTGCTATACTACTTAACCAGTATTTTGGCCAAAGTAACCAATTGTATTGGTTTGCTCATCTACCAATACAGATTAGGTAAAAACACTTCCCAATTAAATCTGTTGTTTTAACAAAAGGTTTGTTGGAAATATAACTTCCAAGCAGATTTAAACCAAAAACTGTGGAAAAAATATATATTTTTCAATACAAATTACTAACACCTTACATTTTGCTCATCATTGCCCTTCAAAGGGACTTAAATGAGAAAAGAAAACAAGAAAGAAATTTCAAACATCACAGATAACATTAGCTAACTGTAGTCATGCCAGTAGATGGTGACGTGTTCACATGGAGATTCATGAAATCTGTTTGATGAAGAAATTTGTCCAAATTGCCTCATGAAGCTTCATCTCACCAACACTATCTTTGGTTGCTACTCAGCGTAGCTTTCAGCTGAGAAGCACTTAGTCTAGGCTTTTCACTAGCGCAGGCCTCTGGCAACAGGAAGTTGAATGCCAGGTACTTCGTTTTATAAACTTTGTTGTTGGGGTGTGACTTTAGAAGGGAGTTGTTTTTGTCCTGTTATGTCAATGACAATTGATATCAACAACTTTGTTCACTAGTTCACATTCATGTTGGAAGAAAGAGGGTCCAGCTCTGAACTGTTCCTACAAAGTATTGACCAGGGAATTGTCCAAAATGTCTTTGTATGCTGAAGCACTCCGAGTTTCTTTCACTGGAAGTAAGGGGCCAAGCCTAGCTCTTGTAAAAAAATAAACCCCAAACCATAATCCTTCCCCAACCAAGCTTTGCACTTGGCACAATGCAGTCAGATAAGTAACGTTCTCCTGGCCACTTCCACAGCCAGACTCGTCCATCAGATATCCAGATTCACTTCCAGAGAATGTGTCTTCACTGCTCTAGGGTCCAGTGGCGGCGTGCCTCACACCAATGCATCAAACACTTTACATAACAGTTGGTGATGTGCAGAGGGTGCAGCTGCTCGACCATGGAAACATATTCCATGAAACTCTCTGCACGCAGTTCTTGAGCTAATCTGAAGGCCACATGATGTTTGTATAGTGATTGACTTTGCAGAAAATTGCCGACCTCTTTCTACTATGGGCTTCAGCTTCTGTGACCCGACTCCGTTATTTGGCTCTGTCATTGCTGAGTTGTTGTTCCCAAACACTTCCATTTTCTTAAGATACACCTGACGGTTGACTGTTGAATATTTAGGTGCAAGGAAAATTCAAAACTGGATTTTTTGGAAAGGTGGCATCCTAAAACAGTCCCACCTTGGAATTCTCTGAGCTCCTGAGAAATTCATTATTTAAAAAATGTATGTAACAACAGTCTGCATGGCTAGATCATTAATTTTATACACTTGTGGCCATGGAAATGATTGGAACACCTGATTAAAAAAAAATGTGGTAAGTAAATACTTTTGGCAATATAGTGTATGTTCATAGATCAGAACATTATAAACTGGAACCTCTGGTCTTAACCATAAGGGAAAACAGTGTTTTTATAAATAGAAGTATCTATATAAATACCCATTTAATAGCTTGTGCAATAACCCTAGCACTCTATATACTGTATATATCCCATGCATCTTTTCCTCCTTTTGGCACCTTCTTCTTTTGGACTGTTGAGCCGATGTAACGAGTACATTTCTCCACTGTGAGATCAATAAAGTCAATCAATCAATCAAACTGATTAACCCAAACCACTAGAGACACTAAGACAATAATAGCTACTTTCCAATCCTTTAAAGAGCCACTGTAAGATGATTAGTTGGTCTATAATCTTAGATTTAAATCCCAGATCTTAACTTAACTAAGTAAATATAGTCACTTTTTAAAGGGAATGAGGGGAAACAGAGACCCCTTAGCTGGGATCAGTTCTAAACACCTGAAATTAAGAATTATTAATCATCATTTTTCTTAATTGTAAAAAAAAGTTATACAAATAATAAGACTAAAGCCACCTAGCACAGTAATGAGAAAACACAGAATGGGGATATGATTAGGACCAATTTATCTGGAATATTAAGTTCCCTTTCTACTAAGCCCAAACTATTTTGCCAATAGATCCCTAAACCATTGCTGAAGTATTTTCTAAAAATAACCCACCGCTATTAGAGAATCCTTTTCCCATGATGCTCTGCATCAATGTTAGGGTAAGAAGCACCTTACTGATGAAGGACAGGGTTTATCGCTTCCCAGCAGAATATTGGACAAAGTATCATATAGATTGTTTCTGCCTCTAAATCGCTAACTTTTAATAAAAATGTCTACTGCTTAATAAATACAATAGAATACAAACAAAAGTGATTATAAACAGCCTAATCAAATCATCCTCCTGACAGGAACAGGCCTGCAGTACCCCTCTCCTCCTGTGGGGGGCGACGAAGAAGCAAACTGAAGCACAACAAACACAGAAGAAGCTGCGTGCTTCACACGTGTGATAACAACATGGGGAAGCGGCGGCAGAAAAAGCAGCTTTTCACGAATTTGTCCAAAAAACAGAAGAAACATCTGAAGGAGTTTGGAGAGGAGCACCCGTTTCACGATGTGTAAGCTTTAAATCAGAGAAAAGCCTTTTCTTTGCTAAAGAAGAGCTGGATTTTGATGTCAGTTTACACAGGCGCCTTTCACCTTAAAACTAGTTGGTAATTCATGGAGCGGTTCTGCAGTAAACTTAGACAAATAATACCTGAAAAAATCATAGCGTTTGTTTTTTAGTAATTTGTATAATATGCATGTTTTTGTCTCTTAGTAAAGATGCGAATTTGGAGTGACACCAAAATGCTAGCAGGAAATAACATCACTATTTTTTTTTTTTTTTTTTTTACACATATATATATATATATATATACATATATATATATATATATATACATATATATATATATATATATATAATGTGTTTGTGTGGTTGCTGTCTTAGTCTCTGTTGCCAAAATAGATCACATATATTATATATACATACATCAGTACATAAGGACCTTTAATTATTGTGTTAAATGTATTATTACCCCTCTCTGACTGGATAACCTCCAGGAACAAACACGCTCTATGCTCTCTGTTTGTAAAGGTGCAGACTGTCTAAAAAAAAGAAACTCTGTCTAAAATGTGACTGAAGTCCTTTTAATGTCTCCATATGCAAAGGACAAGAATATAGAGAATTTCTAAACATATATTTCCATGTATTCAATGTCCTGTGGTCTAAATGTCATGTCCATTAATCTGTAGATGTATCCATCTTTTAGTCCTTTCACCCATTTATTTCTGTCTATCACCTCATGTCTTTGGTCTTTAAACTATATAAGCAATGATCAATTATAACAAATGCAAAAGAAAACAATGTGTTGGTGAGATAATCTCTAAGGGGTCTGTTATGTCTCAGATCGCAGGTAAGGTCAGTATTCTTCAGTTAAATCTCCATCTGTGTATATATCCGTTTGTCCATAAGTCTGTGCATCAGGTGCTATAAGATCTGGTAACATACTGCTTGATTTACTGTTTGCTTCTCCTTAGTGTGAATGAAAGACCTGAAAGGACCCAGATTGTGGACCTGGTGAGTGTGTGGAGAGATGCTCTGTTTGGAGATGGTTTTCATAAAAGCGTAACCATCTTTGCCTCCTCGTTGTTTTGTTTTAATTGTTCCCTTTGTTTGGTGCAGCCATCAAGCCCAGAACAGTCCGACTCAGAACCTGACATCAGGGATGGAGAAGAAGAGGAAGAACCAGAGCAACAAACGGCCTATCAGAAGCTTCTTTCAACCCTTGGTGAACCCACCGCCAATCGCCAGAACCAAGAGGATGAAAGCAGTGATGAGGAGGAGGAGGAGGAGCTACTCTTTGAAAGCGATGGTTGTTTCTTCGTTTTGTTTTTTTATACACATATTTTACAACTGTTGGCAGTTGACTAAATTGGAGTTTCAAATTTTCAGAAGAGGGCAGCAATGAAGCTGAGGACGAAGGAGAACATGGAGAAGAGGAGGCGGGAGATAAAGAGGAGGGGGCTGATGGAGAGGAGCAGGCTGCTGAGCAGGAGGAGGTGGCAGGAGATAAAGAGTTTGTTGACAAGGAGCATGAATCTGCATTCTGTCTGGAGACAAACTTCATGGAAAAAGGAGAAACGGATGAAAACTCTGCACAACTGAAGACCAGTAAAGGTGAAATCAGAGGAAATTCTTTATTGACTTCTATAAAAATTGAAACATTTAGGTTTTGTATTGGTCTGTATGAGATCTGACTTTTTGTTTTTAATTCTTTTTTTTTACAGACATGTTTTTAGACCACCTGGAAACAGAGCTTACTGAAGAGGATGTGTGTAAAATCACCTCTGGCTGCAAATCCAAATCTCAGATCACGGTATAAACATAACCGCCCGGTTAGAAAATTAGCATTTATATTTAAAAAAAACCCTTAAATGTACTTATACAATTTGGCGTTTTTTTCCCATTTTCTAACTTAACCAACATGAAGTAGAGCTCAACTGTGAAATGAAAACCCTGCATAATCTTCAGTGTTTTTTAGCCTCTCAAGGACTTTGACTGTTCTGATCAAAACTAAATGTTTCCAACCCTTTGGTTCAGATAAAATTTTAATATAACAACATACAAAAAGGTGAAACAAGAACTTTCGTTTCTGAAGTTCTCCAAACCCGACCTCAAAATCCATTCTGGTTGACACACATTTCAAATGTTAACCATAGTTATAAACAGTTTATTTACTCTTCTGTTTGTTTGTATCTTGGTCACTTAGAGGAGAATTTCCTTAAAATCAGAGCTTCACCTACTTGTACCATAACATGAAGTTTAGTTTGATAAAATGACCTAAAAGGCTAACAGAACATCTTCCTGATTCATCCTCATCAGGTTGGTTTCTTCCGGAAGACTTAAAAGTCTCTGTCCTCTTCTTCTCGGTGCTCATCATGCTCCTTCCGTTTGGCTGTTTTGTTCTTACATCACATATTAGCTTACGTTAAAAAAAAATCCTTTAGAGAACTGCCACCGGAAGCTCCACTGGTCCTTATATCTCAGTGTGAGCTCTTAACTATCTAATTCAGACATGCCCAAAGTCGTCCCTAAAAGCTGATTTCCTGCAGGTTTTAGACGTTTCTCTGCTTTTTCATTGATGGTTGACTAACAGGCTGTTGCTGAACAGCAATCATCATAATCAGCTGTTCTAAAGCAGGAAAACCTCTAAAACCTGCAGGACAGCAGCCCTCGAGGACCAATTTCGGGCATGCCTGATGGAAAGTGAAACTTTAATAGGTTTCCTGCCAGGGTCATGGTGTATTTAGTTTATCCATCAACTCTTAGCAGCTCTCACCAACCATGTAGAGGAAACCCATAATGTAACCAAGACCAGAACTAAGCAATGGTGGATGCAGCAGTTAGCTTCTATGCTTCAAGGCCTTGGAACCATGCATCCATTTTCCATCACGCTTATCCCAAGCAGGGTTACTGGTGCCCATTTCCAGCTGTCCAATTTTAAGGAACAAACTCCTTAAAACCTACGATCTGCAGAAACTGTTCCTGCTGGCTCTGTTTAGGTGTATGAGCAGGTTTAGGCAGGTTGATGTTGCCTTTATCCATTATTAACACTGTTAATAAATGCTCTGTTATACGTTCAGATCTTAGGACATTGCTTTATGACCATCTTTATTTGTGACTTTTCTGTTGCCTTCTGAGTCTTTCTCAGAACAGCTGGAATTTATTTAAGGGTAGCATTGTAAATAAGAACTGCATACTACAGATTTTTATTAGTTAAAACGCTGTTATGTACTCATTATTTGTAGCTCTATCACATAAACTCCCTTTAAAAGATGTTGTTTGCAACTGAGGGAAGCGGGTATAAAAGCAAACTAAGCCTGATAGAATTTCTTGCTTAAAGTTTAAACTGTTGATATATTTAACTAAGCTTATCTGCATTGTGTGTAAACTTTCTCTGCTCTTTTTCTTGTTTTATAGTGGCCAAAATTGGGAAATCTTTTGTGCACCAATCCTGTTGAGCGATTCGGCCCCATCGGTCCTCATAAAGACACAAACCTAAGTGATTTCCATAAGCTTTTGGAGAGCAGCTGGAAGGGTCTGAACCAGTCGGTCAACCCTAAAGGACAGGCTGAGGAGATCAGCCCTCTGCAGCTGGAGCTGCTGGCCCTCATGATGTCTTATAAGGACCTGTACCACCCAGATATATGCCCTGTAAAGCAGGGTCCATATGTATGCAGTGCTTACTGCCTCCATGTGCTCAACCACGTCCTGAAGGCTAACTCCAGAGTGCTGGCCCATAACAGTCAGCTGAGAGAGCGGAAGACACAGACTAAACCTGGAGCTGAGCCACAAGACGAACCCAGAGACCAGGGACTGACCAGGCCAAAGGTAAACAACCAAACACATGAGGTTTATTTAGCTGCTCATAGCTAATGCTTAGCATCTTACTAATAAGACTTGCTTCCTTAAACGTTTGCATGCAATGTTTGTTTTTTTGTTTTTTTACACCATCTTCCTACCTACGAGACAAATTGTCCGCATTTTTGTATGACTCGAACTGAATCAGGGATAGCCGAAGTCTCTGAAGCTGAAGTCTCACAAGCTCCTTGCCTGTCAGCCAATAACACACCGAGTAGTTATGTTGGAGCCTATTAAGAATTAGATTCGTTTATCTTTTGCAAAATTATTAATGTTAAAGAGCTAAGGTTATGTGAATGGTAGAGCTATTGTTTATTTGTTTATGTATTGGTTTTGCTTTGACCCTCCTCCTTGTCAGTCCGCCTCCTGCTGAGATTAGCAAGTAGAAGCAGCTGATGAGGTGGATCTGATTGTTTGTTTGAAGGAGTGAGGGGTGCAACAGTTTTTCACACACATCACTTAACTTTATATTTGAATTAAGTAACAAGTTATTCTCTGTATGAAACGTTTTATATTTTTATGTAAAACGTTTTACAGTTCAAAAATTTGTTTTATTTTTGTGCATAAAAGCCTAATGAATATATACTTTAGCTAAAAGAGCACACTACACACACACACACACACACACACACACACACACACACACACACACATATGCATAGATGCTGGTGACACCAGAAGTTCAAAGCCCCACAGCTCTGAAATTTTCTGCAGTTGTAGTTGACATGATGTAGAACAAATGCAATACAATGAGACATGCCTTTTCTCAAGCATGTCTTTATTACTCATGTTAAAAAAGATCTATTATTTTCGAGAAGAAGAAAAAACAACTTTGAGTCATGTTTGAACCGATGCAGTTAAGGCTGTGTTTTAGTCACACTATTTTCATTTATATTTTCAGAAACTTAAAGGTGTTAGCTTTCAAATTATGTAACACACATGTAATTTAGGCTTACAGTTCCTCGGTTATTTCCTTTTCCATTTGGGTATGCAAAAATAGCGAGGATTACCCCAAATTAGGTCGGTTTTAAGAGGTTAACACAGAAAACCTGCAAGATTTGTAAGGATTGCTATCACTGTGTGCCAGGTTCTGATTCTGGTTCCCATTCGGGGACGCGCTCTACAAGTGGTCCACACTCTGGTCAGCCTGCTGGAGACCAAAGGCAAGAAGATCATGGTGAGCAACAAGAAGAAGTTCAAGGAGGAGTTTGGAGAGGCAGAGGAGGAGAAACCAGCGAACCTGCTCAGACCTGATGATTACCACGCCATCTTCTCAGGGAACGTTGACGATCACTTCAGGATAGGTACGTTATTAAAATGGTGGGGGGAGGGCTGTATATGAAAGCATTCACCCCTTATCTGATTGCTTCTACCCTCCTTGCCAGGTGTGTCTATAGTGAGGGGCAATGTGCGTCTGTACGCCCCCTTCTACTCCTCAGACATCATCATTGCGTCTCCGCTTGGCCTTCGAACGGTGCTGGGGGCTAAAGGGGAGAGTAAGAGGGACTATGACTTCCTGTCGTCCATCGAGCTGCTGGTCCTGGATCAGACTGATGTCTTCCTCATGCAGAACTGGGAGCATGTGTTGGTAGGAGGATTTCAGCTTAACTCAAGATGTGGTCCATTTGCATAACTATATGTAGAATAGTTTTAAGGTTTGTCTTTCCTGCCCTTCTCTACCAGCATGTGATGAAACACATGAACCTTCAGCCGCTGGACTCCCATGGAGTGGACTTTTCCAGAGTGAGGATGTGGAACCTGAACAACTGGGCTAGACACTACAGACAGACGCTGGTGTTCAGCTCCATCCAGGATCCACAGATCAACAACATCCTCACTAAACACTGTGCCAACTACAGAGGACAGGTGAGGCCTTACAGATACGTACTGCTCTATGCATCTAAAAGAGGATTTGACAATTATTGGAAAGATAAATTCAGTAACATCCAGGTGTTTCCATTTAGATAAATACATTATTAATTTGTTGCAGAAAGTAGGCAATTTTTAAATTCATTCATTACAAAAAATGTTTTTTCAATTTTAGTTATTGTAAATTTATTTATTATAAATCCTTTTGCATATTTGAACACAAGTGAGTCAAGGGAAGAGTCTGATTTTTTTCCAGGTATCAGTTCAACACCAGCTGTGATGAACAAAGGAATAAGCTACAGGTTCTCATGTCTCTTTTTTTTTTTCTACAGCATATGCAGTTTTCTCCATCTTTTAGTGGGAAATCATTGGAAGTCTTTGAATGTTATGAAAATATTTTTTTTTACCATATCTTTTAGAGCAGTTATTGACTCCTATGTCATTTATTTGACCTCTCTGTTGCTTTTGACACAGGTTACCATAAAAAATATGCCAAAAACAGGCTCCATATGCCAGGTGTTGGTTCAGCTGCCTCATGTTTTCCAAATGTTTTCATCTGAAAGCTTCATGGATCAAGATGCAAGGTATGCAGTCTATTGTTTAAGCTCTGGAGACTTCCCTTTCCTAGGACTACCCCTCACTATATTCTTCTTCTCCTTGAAGGTTTCAGTTCTTCATTGATAAAGTGCTGCCTCAGTACAGGGACTCTGTCATGTCCCACACTTTGATTTACATCCCATCCTACTTTGACTATGTCCGCCTGCGAAACCACATGAAGAAAGAGGAGATCAACTTTACCTCCGTCTGCGAGTATTCCAGCAAATCGGAGGTTTCTCGAGCCAGGCATTTTTTCCTGAAAGGTGAAAAGCAGTTCCTGCTTTTCACCGAGCGCTTCCACTTCTACAAGCGGTCAGTTTGTTGTTTGTTTGTGTATTTATTCTTCCTGCAACAATCTGCTCATGTCATCCTTGCTTTGTTCAGGTATACCATCAAGGGCATCAAGAACCTGATCTTTTATGGACTCCCCACCTTCCCTCACTTCTACAGCGAAGTGTGCAACATGCTGGCAGCAGGAGGTCAGGGGGAGGAGGCCAGCTGGACATGCACCGCCCTCTACTCCCGCTACGATGCCCATAAGCTAGCTGCCATCTCCGGAGCCCAGCGAGCCGGACAGATGCTGCACTCCAACAAAAACGTTCACCTTTTTATCACTGGAGCCGAGGACAAAGTCTGAACAGATAGCAGTGCATTAAATGTGCTTATTAAACTGTAATTTTAGTTAAACATTGTGACTCGTTAACCTCTGATAGCAAGTATTTATTGTTTTATTGGATTTGTTGATGTGTTGCTGAAGGGACCATTAAAACATATGTTCTAAAAACATAATCATCATAGCAGTTATGATCTGTTGATTGAAAAGGAAAATGTTTTCCTTATTTGTTCTTTGAAGGGCTTTGATTCAGCAATACCAGAGCTAATTAAATAGTTTTATGAATTAGATATGTGAAAAGTGTCTGAGAATATGGATGCCTGTTTTTGCCAATAAAGAAAAAAACAGGATTTTGTAATTCCCAAATTCAAATTTAAAGATGGTAATTAAACTGGTTCAACTAGAGATAAAATTATTCTGATATGCCTCACATAAAGCATCTTGTAATATATTTTATACAGAAATGCATTTCATTAAACCATGAATATTTTAATCAAATAATTTTGTCCAATTTAAATAAAAAATCTGTCCTGGTTGTGAGGGCAGGTTTAAGATCTCAGTTGTATAAATAGGATCAATTATTTAAAATTCTAATAGACAAAATGAATCTCAGGAAAAGTAAAATAACTTTGTATGTCATATACATGCTTTAAAAGAGTAACTTCAGCTATTTTCCTATAGTTTTTGGAAACGCACAGATTACACATTACAGATAAAAAAATGTAATTAATCCTTCTCAGCTTTAAGGAAAATAACATGTAAGCTATTCAAAGAAAAAAATAAATCATTAAAAGTAACTAAATTATTTCAACAAGAACCATGCAGCCTGAAATGTGGAGCAAAAATTGCAATCTAAATCAGATTTAAAGCTTGTTAGGTTATATAAATATATTCTGTGTACTAGACAAGCTGCTCATAAGATCCTGAAAAGTATTATGTTAAAAACACCCCTTTTGCTCAAGTCTGATGTAAGTTCTTAGAAGAAATGGCCCTCAGATTTTCTGAGCGAGGTTTGTTTAGGAGAGAACTTTCCTTAACATCCTTAAGTGCTTTGTTAGATCAAGGAATATCAAAGTTCTGGTATGGGGTTAAAATTCAATAAAAAAATAAACTGAACTTTCCAGAGATAATCTTTTGCCTTATTAGAAATGCAATTTAATGCTTCACAATACTTCAATCCCTGTTAAGAATTATATTTTATTAGCATCTGCCTGGTAGCATACATACCATATACGCAGCTCAATAAATAAAGGGAATATGTAAACAGCACATTAACTTTAATCAAACTTCTGTGAAATCAAACTGTCTACTCAACACTGATTAACAATTTCACATGCTGTTGTGGGAAATATAACAGGTGGTACTTTTCCGCAATTAGAAAGATACACTTAGTAAGCGATTGGTTCAACAGGTGGGGACCACAGACCACCTCTTAGTACCCAAGCTTTCTAGCTGATGTTTTTATCTCTTTTGAATGTTGGTGGTGCTTTCACAATCATGCAGCATGAGATGTGCCCTACAACCCACACAAGTGGCTCGGGTAGTGCAGCTCATCCAGGCACATCAATGCAAGCTGTGGCAAGAAGGTTTGCCATTTCTGTCATCGCAGTGTCCAGTGGCTGGAGGCTCTACCAGGAGGCAGGTCAGTACACCAGGAGATGTAGTGGACGGCAACAACCCAGCAGCACGACAGCTTCCTCCACCTTTGTGCAAGGAAGAACAGTAGGAACACTGCCAGAGCCCTGAAAAATCACCTCCAGGAGGCCAGAAATGTGCATGCGTACTCCATGAGGATGGTGTGAGGGCCCAATGTCCACAGATGGGGGTTGTGCTCACAGTCCAACACAGTGCAGGATGCTTGGCATTTGCCACAGAACACTTGGAGAGTGACCTGCTGGCTGCAACATCCTTCAGCATGACTGGTTTGGTAGTGGGACACTAATGGTGTAGGATGGCATTTTTTTGGAGGGCTGCACAGCCCTCCATTGGCTCGCCAGAGGTAGCGTGACTGCCAATAGGTACCGAGATGAGATCCTCAGACCACTTACAAGACCATATGCTGGTTCCGTTGGCCCTGGGTTGCTGAAAATGCAGGACAATGCTAGACCTCATGTGGCTAGAGTGTGTTCATAGTTCCTGCAAGATGAAGGCACTGAAGCTATGGACTGGCCCACCCGTTCCCCAGACCTAAATCCCATTGTGCACTTCTGGGACATCATGTCTGGATCCATCCACTGAAGTCATGTTGCACCACAGACTGTCCAGCAGTAAAGCGAATGCTTTAGTCCAGGTCTGGGAGGAGATCCCTGACAAGACCATGCACCTCCTCATCAGGAGCATGCCCAGGCGTTGGAGAGAGGTCATACTGTACAGGCACATTAAAGCCACATGCACAATACTGAGCCTTGTTTTGACCTGTTTTAAGGACATTACATCAAAGTTGAATCAGCCTGTAGTGTTTTTCCACTTTAGTTTTGTGTGATTTTTGTGGGATTCTGTTGTCAGCACACTCAACAATGTACAGAAAAAAGTATTCAATGAGAAAATTTCATTGTTTTAGATCTAGGATGTCTTGTCTGAGTGTTACCTTTGTTTGTTTGAGTAGCTAACATTGTTTCTGTTTGAATAAAACTGTCATTATTAAAAGTAACCTGTGAAATCCAGATTAGTAGTTTTACTACCAGAAAAAGTAGGGTTTAATACAAAGTTGGTGTTTTTTTAATTGAATTTAATAGTTTTGTTTCATTAATTTCCTATTTTTCCTAATGGCTATCCATAGATAACCAAATATGAGTGCTTTGATCACCTCTGTAAAGGAAGAGACTGAGTTCCTAAAGCAGTAGTTATCACGTGTAATAAAATACACACAATAAAAGGCTATAACTATCACTTCTTGCAGTGATCCTTTCAGCAACGATAAGGTGTTAGGTAAGACGTCACCTGTTAACACGTCGGATGAACCCAACATATAATTATTAACTCCATGTGTTGATGCAAGAGTAAGTTAGGTCACAAAATTACAGTTTTCCCTCTGCTGCCTGGAGCCGACGCACAGCAGATGGTCTCCAGCTGCCAAGATGATGGAAGAGAAACAACAGAAGCTCAGCTTGAAACGAGAAGTGGGGCTAATGGGAGCCGTGTCGCTGATTGCAGGGACGATGATTGGATCTGGGATCTTCATGTCCCCGCAGACGGTTATCTCCTCTATTGGCAGCACAGGAGCCAGCCTGGTGGTGTGGGCCAGCTGTGGCGTACTGGTGATACTGGTGTCTTTCTGCTATGCTGAACTAGGTACCGTTATACAGGAGTCAGGAGGAGAGTACATCTATATTCTGAGGACATCAGGTCCAGTCATGGCCTTCATGTTGGCCTTCAGCTCTATCATATTTGTGAGACCTGCAGGTGTCGCAGGCATCTCTCTCAGCTTTGCTCAGTATGTTGTGGCTCCTTTCTACCCAGAATGCACTCCACCAGTGCTGATAGTAAAATTTGTGGCTGCAGCTGCAATCATACTTTTAGCCATTGTAAACTGTATGAATGTACGCTTTTCGATGATAGTGCAGGTGTTTTTTATGGTGGCTAAGGTTGTGGCCTTGGTTGTCATCATTGTCGGAGGAGTGGTTCTGCTTGCCAAAGGAAACACAGAAAACTTTGAGGACTCCTTTAAAAACTCCAACGTGGGCATCAATCCAATTGGGATTGCTCTCTACCAGGGACTGTGGTCCTATGACGGCTGGAACAATCTGAACTATGTGACGGAGGAGCTCAAACGTCCAGAGGTAAGGGGAAGTTAAAGGCCAACTCACAAGCATCAGTTGCCATTTTCACTCATGTGTGCATGACTCAACAGTTTCCTCTGCTCAAGGCAATACCGTAAGTCTCAGCGGTTGCTGTGTTTACTCTAACCCAGTCTTTAAATTGTTGTTGGAGTTTACAGAAATTTCCTCCGATTTCCTTTTCATTTTTGGCTGCTGTGTTGGGAATCATTGTCCTGATCAACTTAAAGGGACAATTTGTGTTTAAGCTTTAATATAAGTTAAGGAAATATCCAAGAAAATATTTGCAACACATGCTGCTTTAAAGCCTATACTCATTACAGGACCTATGAAATGACTCATCTATTGCAGAATTTTCAGTGATTGCTAGGTCCCCGGGGGCCCTCACCACACACATACATACTATATATATATAAAATCCATATCCTAACATTCATGTATAATCTGTATATAGGTTCCATATTTATTTATTTTATAGTGTCTTACAATTACTCTCTGTTTAAATATACCATCTATAGTCAATACAGACATAGTCTATGGGTTAGTGCAAATCATGTGCACATGTACATAAATATCTATATCCTGTATAGCACTTCTGGATAGATGCAAACTACATTTTGTTGCTTTGTACCTGTGAAAATGTAATGACAATAAAGTTGAATTCTATTTTAATCTAATTTTATTCTAAATAAGATTTCATTCTTAGAGAAGATACAAAAAAGATAAATCTCTCCAAACAAGAGAGAGATATTTTTTTCCTGTTTTTTTTTTTAGCAATTTCTCTGAAAAAAGTCTGACCTTAGGGTCAATTTTCAGGGTAGTTCATTCTTGAGAAGTTAGTCAGTTAACCTATAATTTAAGCTTTTTATTTTTCCTCACAATATAATGGATGACTGGCAGCAATCGCTGCGTCTTAAAGGTTGCCGAGTGTCCTATTTGGTGTTGTGTTCACACATAGTCCCATGCTCTAAGCAGGTGTTGTCACACCTTCTTATCGTCTAAGAAATAAATGTTTTTATCAGCCCCTAGCTACACATTTCTGCAGCCAAGTCCTGCCTTTCACTTTCAGCATACTATCCCAGACAGGCTTTTTCATGTTCATTCTATATTTGCCATCTGTTTTAACATGTTTTTGCTTTCTGAACTTTAACTTTAACAAATATATTTTTTTTTCTCACAAGGCTGTGCGTGCTGCAGGCACTTAGTGCTAGTATATCAGTGGTTTAAATGAGCAATAAAACCAGCTCAAGCCAATTTGACAGTTTGGAGCGCTGACAAGAGTTACATTAAATTTGACCCTACTTTGTCATATTTTATTGGGTTGCTACGACAAGCATAGTCAAAGGACTAAATGTTTCATTAGTTTATCTCTGTACATTCCAACTTTAAAACATTCAAAT